CAGTGTCTTCTTCATTTTTAATTTAGGATAAATACCCTTCTTTTCCTATCACACGATGGGACACATTCTGTTAAAAGGATTTTAATCAATAAGTAAATGTATATATGAATGGGTAGATAACTATAGATATGGGAATATATATGCATGAGGCTATAAAGATATCTCCTAGTTCTGTTTGCACCTAGAAGTTATAACACACTTGGAGAATGAGCACTGTTAATGTGTGCTGTCCTGAGATTGGATGGGGCATATAATTTCTACATAACTCATCACTGGTATTGTTAAACTTGACAACTTTGTGGAGATATTGTCTGCCAGTCTCTCCTTAAGAAAGTTTCTAATTATTCCTTTCAGGACTATGAAAATGAGCCACTAGTTTAGGCAAACCTCAATAGGCATGATGGAACTAAAATTCACCCCTTTCAGAGGGCAATGCGCACATATTATTTGGAATTTTGTAAAGGAGTGTTATTTCTTATCCCTACATATTTTTTTCAATCACATCTATCTATCCATCTGTCCATATATCTACCTACCTATTAAACTTCAGTCATACTGTCTCTATCTCTAATCACATACCACAGGATACTTTCTATCCTCTATTCCCATATTTTTTACTTTTTTCTACAGATAGTGAAAACTGCATTACTCAACATTTATTTCTTTTTTTTTTCAACCTAGTACAGATGTACAGTTCTTTCAGAAATTTCAACCCATACCTCATGAGAAACAAATTTATCAAGTAGAATACAAAGTTTACATAGAAATTTTTTTGAATTATGCTTTCCTTTTACTTATTGCCCTCCATAGTTCCTCAGTTACTTCCTTTAAAAAAATCCAATCCCTTCAGTGAAGTTGTGCAGACATTTATAACAACAGCTAGATCATTTATTAGAGTCTACATTCTTTTCTGAGATCCTCCTTCATCTTAATTTTTATTTTTAATTTTTGTGAACTAAAATAAGTGCATAAAGTATCCACTACATAAGCACCATACAGAATAACATATATTTATACTGAAAAGCATTTCCAATTTGTATGTGCTACTTCCATCTGCAACTGTGTTGTAGTCCTCTTTGCCAGGTAAATTTATGTTCTTCCTTTAATATTCAGCAAGATGATTGCATCTGGGGAGACTACCTGACTCAGGAAACTTTAGGCTCCATTTTTGCCATGTGCAGTGCATATGACAGTTGGTCTTTGTGGTCTTGCAGTGAACTTTTTAATGGAACAGCAGTGCTCAGAGAAAAACCTGTGCTTCTGAAAATGATAATATCTATTTCACCACTTTCTTCCATAAAGTCAAAACTTCCTCTAGTTTTGCCTTCTTTTTTTGCCAGAAACTCTTGTATCTGTTTGAGACTACTCTTCATCATTGTGATTAACACATCTGATGAGAGGCAATTTAGAGAACAAAATCTGATTATGGTCTCATGGTTTCAGAAGTTCAGTCCATGCTTGGATGACTCTATTTCTCTGGGTCTGAGTTAAGGCAGAAAATCATGGCCAAAGGGTGTGGTGCAGGAAAGCTGCTCATTAATGGCAACTGGAAAGCATAGAGAGATCAGTTATCAGGGACAAAATATAAACCCTTAAAGTTCTGTCCAGAGTGACCAATTTCCTGCAGCCACAACTTATCTTCCTGTAGTTACCACACAGTAAAGTAGTCATTTCAAATTTTTAAATCTCCAAATGGATTAATACATTGATTATGATGCAGCTCTCAAAAACTAATCATTTTACATTTTAATATTCCTGTACTAATGTATTAGCCTCATTTGTAATATACCTCATATCTGATACACCTCATATCTAAACCATAACATTCTACCCATGACCCCCCAAACTAATTCCCATATCACAATTCAGAATACATTTTTAGTCCTTCTTCAAGATTCTCCACATCTTAACAGTTCCAGCATTACCTCAAATTCCCAAGTCCAAAATCCCCGAGACTGAAGACAAACTCTTGATTGTGAGCCCTTGTAATTATCAAAAGCAAATTATATACATCCAATATATAATGACACAGAGTAAATATTCCCATTCCAAAAGGAAGAAATAGGGCCACAGAAATAAGGGATGGGACCAAAACAAGACCTAAACCCAGCATGGCCAAGAATTCTGTTGGCTCAATGTTCAACATGTGAGACACATGGCATTGTGACAAGAGCTCCACAGGACTTGGGTGTACCTCCCACTTTCCATTGACTGCTGTGGTTTACACAGTCTCTCATGACTCTTTACTGGTTGCCCTGAGTGGAACAGCTTTTCTCTACCACAGCCTTTCACTACAATGTTCCACCTCACTTTGTGCCTTGAGGTTGCTGATACCCAAATTTTCTCCCAGTTCTCAGGCCACCCTTTCTACCATGTGATTAAATGTTGATGCTCACATTTCTTCATCTTCATAAAACATGGTCTCAGTAAGATTTTCAGTTATATTTAAAACAAAATTGCCAACAATAAATGAGTAACCAAAAACTATGCCTTCCTCCCAAACTTACAGTGATTTGGATATGTTAATATTAAACTGTCTACAGAGAAACTTTATAGTACAAATAATTTATCTCATTTTGACTCAAGAACAATTTCCCTTAACTCTGTTTATTCTATGACACTGATTAATGACAATGTGATTTATAATTCAAAATTCAAAATCTGGAGAGTCATTTTCAAATCAAGTATAAGTTTTCTATAATCTCTTTTCAACTCTTCCTTTCTATATAGTCCATTTCTCTAATGTGCTTTCACAAAAATTGATTTAAACCCATTGTAATTGTTAATATATCAATCCTATCCACTTTTTACAGTTTCTTACCCTTCAACCACCAATATGCATATTTACTACTTCACCTTGAATAAATACCATAGAGGATTACAATTTTCCCTTTTGGTTACCCTGTTCTCACCACCATTGTTATATTGTTTTCCTCATTTGCAAGAGGAATAAACAAACTTTCATTAAATTTAACACCAAACCACATTAACTTGTTGGTCTTTTTTGACTTCAAAATAGCAATTCATTAGTTATTAGAATCATTCTCCTGAAAGAATTTCCCCAATGGATCCTAAAACATTTCTAACAAACACTAGTCAAATATTACCTTAGAATAACACATTATGATATTTTTCCTTGAAACTCTTTCTCACTTGTGGAAAATTATTATAGATGGAATGAAAATCAGTATTTTCTCTTAAAAAATTAAACATTGATTTATTTTATTTATTTGTGTTTGTGTGTCTGTGTGCTTACATGTATTATGTTGCTTATTATTACTATGTAAATTTTTTAAAAAGTCATAGCCATCAATAATTTGTAGCCCTTCTTGATCCAATTAATGTTATTAAATACAAAAGTTTCTCTATGTGGAGGAGACTGATTATTTAACATTGTAGAATGATGAGGTATTCTTTTTAGATTAACAATTGTATATGGAAAGAAATTCCATGAAAAATTCAGAGTCGGGGAGAATGTACATATACGACTGGGTTAGGAGTACAAACAATACTGGGATTTTTTTTTTCATTTGATTCTGTTAAAGATATGGATAGTACTCCTTGGTAGAGTCCCACTGGCACTCAAGGAACATTAGAAAATGTGTGCTTTCATAGACGTGTCTATTAATTTTTAATACCCTTCACTTTATAAAACAGCCTTGTGCCTTCAAAAATATTGAAAAGAGTAGATATTTCCCATATGTCCTATATCCATTTTCTTTTCTTATTAATATTTTATATTAATATGGTATATTTGTTATAATTAATAACCTGTGTCAATGCATTATTATTAGCTAAAGTCCATAATTTATTTATATTTCACCTATTTATATTTTCACCTATCCTTTTTCTGATCCATAATCTTTTCCAAGATACCATTACATTTAGTTGCCATATTTCCTTAGGCTATTTCCTGTCTGTTTTTTAGCCTCTTATTGTTTTTAATGACTTTGACAGTTTTCCAAATTAACCTTTTTAAATGCTGCTTCAATAAGTAATTCAAAGAATAATAGTGTGAAAAATTCACTTTGATTACTCTAAATTCTGATGATATTAAAGAACTTTATGTAAAAATAAGTCCATTTACATGTCATGAGGCTTCAGAGGGAAAATAAGATAAAAGCCTAAAGCAATTATATGGTTTCATCAACTAATATAATTTTACACCTTTTTTACATGGCCTTAGGCAATATGAAGCAATTTAATAATTTGTGCCTAGTGAGCTCTTTATTTATTACACATTCCAGTTCCAATTTTATTAAAAAGGCAAGTATGTTGCCTCACTAAATATTTTTTTTCTTTTTATACAAGTAAGTATTTTCTTTTTCCCACTTCCCATTGACTGCTGAAATCAAGCAAATAATTTAAGAAATGGGGAGTCTGTGAAATCAAATTCTACTTGCCTTTCCTTTACACCATTTTACTATTCTTGATGTTCTGTTTTTAAAGAACTGCAAGGAAATAGCACTTAAAAATGCATGATGTTGAGGAACTATTTCTTTCTACCATGAATATTGCTGTCAGGATGACACATAGAATTCATTTGTCCATCAGCAACCACAAATGCATTAACTGCCTCCTAAGTGCCCGCAGAGTAAATGTATGGGGTGGAAAAAATGGTTAGAAATGGCCTTCTTCCAGAGAAGACCATTGTTTCATGACTCAGTCATATGCATTCCAGCCAAATGTTAATATTAAGTGCCTATGCTATACTAAAATCTGTAACAGAACTTAAATATTTAAAGTGTTGTTGTCCTCAGGGAGATTGCAGCTGGTTGAGAGGACAGGATTTATTTCAATTACATACACACACAATCACATATAGTTTTTCCTGTAGGTATATAAAACAGGTATAAAATTTGCATAGTGCCTAAATCTTCTTAATAAGAAAAGTTTAACCTTAACTCACATCTAAGACTTTAACAATACTAAAAAACAAAACAACAACAACAACAAAAAAAAAACATGCATATACTCCTAGAAGTTATATCCACCTGCCTTTTAGGGTTCTATGCCAGAAATTTTCTGGGGTAAAAATCAAAGTTGTGTCTTTGAATTTTTTCCAAGATGCGATTTTGTAATGCAGATGGCACACCCGCGCAGTAGCCTGGTGTTCATCCGATTGCTGTCCTGAAAAATGAGCACAGAAAGAGTAAATGAAATTTGATTAGCAAGTCTTCCTTTTAAAACAGATGTTGCACCAGATATAAATTATTCTTTTTAGAATTTCTAACATATGCCAAAGTATTTATCACAGATTAACTGCATGAACTTGCATGCTATTACTAAACTTTCTGAGTGTGAAAATGGATGGATGCATTTTTCACAGTTCTGATCAAAAGATATATGAGAATTGTAATTGTAATTCAGATAAGAAAAGCTATATTTAAAGACCTTAGAAAATATTTATGTGAACAAAATGAACCATTTACTATGTGTTCTTCTCTTTGATCCTTATTGAAATTTAACTGATACTGAAAAATACTATTTAGAGTTAATATTTTATATTACAAATATACCTTAACACAAATGTACCCTTAATGTTGTATAAGTATGGCTCAAAATATTTATATCTTCTCTTGCTTCTCATTGTATCATATTCTTCATAAATGGGTCCCTAGTCACAGATATTTCCCGAAACATTGAAAAATTTGAATTTGATTTTTGTTAAATTCCTTTGTTGAAAATTGTCCAATGTATGCTTCACGTCCAAGCTGGTATTTACTCGGCATCAGATAATTTATACATCATAATTAAAACAGTGCTTTCTAAAAAATAATTCATCTGTTTCAAATCTTGTTTTGTGTTTCAGTCTAAGAGATAAGAATATTCATAGTAAAAATAAAAATTGGGATTAACATTTCCCATTTTATTTTTGAAATTAACCACGTATTGTAGCTAGTGCTTTCAGAATATAAGCACTAAAAAGTCTATAATATTAAAAAAAAAATAGCCAGGCTATTCAGCTGTTTTTGCTGTCGTGACGTTTTAGATGTCTTTTAATTTTTTTGGCTTTGCCAGAAAAAGCTAATATAAAAAAAAAACCTATATTTTCTCATTAATTTATTCTGTGAAAATTTTCTTAGTTTTTAAATAAAATCGAATGGAAAAATTGATAGCAGATTTATATTACTTCAATATGAAACCTGAGTTGAGCCTCTTGAGGTTACAGTTACCATGGTAACAAAAGTCAGCTTTTTTTCAACAGTTTCTATCCTAACTGTTCTTATACTGAGTGATTTCTTCAAAAATAGGACTCAGGGGGTGTAGTATTGAGAAATTTTATTTCCTATAAGGACTCATACCGATGTAATTTGTAAGAAGTAATTCTGGAACATGGCATTTAATTAAATATAAATGTTATCAACATGGCTTTTAAAAGTACTGTAATCTCCCAGTAAACAGGCAGATATAAGGAAATGTGAAACAAAGAAGTATCCTGACCAGATCACTCTGACAATTATATTATTAACAATCAAATTTTCTATTTATGTAAATATAAAAATACCTATAAAAAGTGTTCAGGATGATAAGGATACTTATCTGATATGCTATACTTTTACAAGCCAAATGGGGTGTTAATTTTAGTAAACTTATTTAAAAAAAGTTATTTTTCCTTTTACAATGTTTAGGTAAAGGGAAGTCAATAAAATCCAAAGCTACATTTTCACATATATACACAGATATTCAAAATAAATTCATAATTTTTATACTACTTTTACCTTCCCAAACTTTAAGGTATAACAGATTAGGTCTACTACAATTTTGCAGTTTGATATTAGTTTCTTTTTTTCTCTAATTTTAACAAAGACTGTCAAACAACATTTTTTCATTTAAAAAAAATGAGCTGTGAGTAAGCCATTCCAATATGGTTAATTTTCCCCATGCAGTGTTTTACTTATCCAGGTGGTATTTGAAGTTTTCTAATCCAAAAGAAAATAGATAATGAATCACCCATCACTAACTGTCTAGGTGATCTGAAGTTAATCACTCAAATTTTCTGATGCTTAATTTCTTCATTGTTAGGACCAGGATAAGAAAAAAAAAGCACTTTGCTTTGTTATTATGTCAAATAAAAGTAAATATGACAGATAATTCCAACTTTCTATAGCTTCATAAATTCCTGTCCCTCTAGATTGAGTGACACTCTTGTTACTAAATCATATTTGATCTATAGTGTGATTCAGAATCATTACTCTTTTGTTTGACTAAGTTTCTGGTACACAGCGGCTCATGAAATAGGTGAAGTTAATTTAATGTATAACTAGAAAAGATGAGTCACAGGGAATATGGAAATCAAAAGAGACCATTATTAGGTCTCTACTCCACTTTAGGACTAACTCTATATACTGCATTATTGACATAGAAATAATTCTACCCCAAACCCTCCTCTTGAAATCAACTTATCATTTAGGGATGCATTTTAATTGTTCTTCAGGATTCTACATAAGAAAAAATTAAACCCTTATAAGTTTTTTAAAAGCTATACTTTTGTACACCCATCTACATAAATTCTTTCTAAAACAAGCCAAGCTGTCTGTTGGGATAGAAATACTACTGGGTAGCATGGCTTTATTTTAACTATTTGTGACCTTGAGAAAATGTCTTTCTTGTCCTGAGAATTCAATCTTAGGATGCAGCAATTGGTATGGACTGACTCACCTGCAATTTAATAGAAACTTGATGACGATTAATGATTATGGAAAAAATTAATCTGAAGGGTAATGAATCATCATAAGTTTTACATAGGAAGGTAAAGACCATGTTCTCATAACCTTTCTGGGAAGTTACAAGTACAGGTTACAACACAAATGTACCTTTTGGTATTGAATGGATAACAGACAAATGGCTAGAAAAATAAAAGCAAGCAAAATAGGTTTTACTTTAACACTTTAAGTTATATTATTGAATATTTTTTTCTAGTCTACATTATAATTAAAAAGGATAATGAGCCGCATTGTTTTTTTTTTTTTTTCTGTCTTCTATTTCCTGGTGGTTTATTAAGGAACATACTAAAGAATGAAAGAAACAAACAAAGAGTTAGATTTTTTTGGTCCTAAAACTTTTCCTGAAACAAAAGCTGAAATCTAAGTAGTTTCTTTCACCTCATACCATGTTGACATCTTTATTGGAAATGTTCTCTTTCTTGGATGTTTGCACCACTCTCTGCTGCTGATATTCATAACATTTGGGAAGGTTAACCTATTTCACATTTGTGTATCAACCTGGCTTATCACTCAGACTAGAGTTCTTTTCTAGCATTTGAATTATTCATTTTTAAAAGTTTTTGGATAATTCCTCATTAAGTCAGCAAGTTGATAGGAAAAATAAATAAATAAAAAGTGCCATATGTTCCCTAAATTGAGAAAGCATTTTGAAAGAAATGAAAACAACAACAACAACAAAAATGTATCTTTTAGCCCAGCACAGTGGCACAGGCCTATAATCCCAGTGGCTCAAGAGGCTGAGGCAGGAGGATTTTGAGTTCAAAGCCAGCCTCAGAAACTTAGGGAGGCATTTCGCAACTCAGGGAGGCACTTAGAAACTCAGCAAGACCCTGTCTCTAAATAAAATATTAAATAAGGCTGGGGATGTGGCTCAGTGGTTGAGTACCCCTGGGTTTAATTCTCAGTACCAAAAAATATATATATATATTTTAAATTGATTTCAAATTATAATGTCTTCTGAAATGAATATAATAAATTATATACAAAATCTTATTGTAACTATCTATTTTCAAATTAGGTGTTGTTGTCAATAAGGCATTTGAAAAAAATATTTATTTGTACCAAGTATTGTACTTACTCAGACCTTATCTTCCTAGGGTAATAATCATATCAATCTATGTGATAAAATATATCTCTGAGGATACCCATTTGAGAAAAAATAATTTAGAATTAAAAACTCTTCATATGCAAAACAACATTGATCGTTAAAACCAACATTTTAATATATTTGTCTAAAGCTTGAACCAATTTTATAAATTTCAAGAAATATTTTTCTGCAAAATCAAACAGTACCTTAAATTGAGTATCATGTTTAAATATCACATCTATTATTTAGGTAGAAAAATATTTTAAAATTAAAATCAAAATACATATGTTAACTAATTTTCAATATGGTACTTTGACCATAAATATATTTTAAATGATTCAGCAAATAAGTGCCCTAACATAGAAATCATGTTTTTTTCTTATATCTTTACTATACAATTTTATTTCAAATACCAAGAAGTTTTGTTTATTTTGACTAAAATTTAGCAGTGGGTAAAAAATTTGTCAACATTAGCAAATGGATTCAATACTCAGTTTTGCTCATAGTAAACTATAATATTCAACTGTTGGGTGCTAAGGACCAAATTCTATGGAACAATCCTCTGATTTCACCTTAATACAGCTGTGTGGATCTAGCACAAGCAGTAATGTCATCTTTATAACTACTAATGAATATCTCAGTACCCCACTGGAATTGGGAGAATTCCTAGAATTTTACCTATTCAGAGCCCTAACTTCATTTTGGAATCTTCTTTTAAAACATACAATCTTCCTTAAAATCAAGGTTGTCTATTCACTAGTTAGAATATTGGTGTGAACTGATTGAACATCTTGAAAGTAAACCTGAAAGCATTCCTTGGTTGCCTCTGTTTACCTAAGGGCATTGTTTCTTAAATTTTGATATTGGCAATCATGTAGCAGTGTTACAGGTGGAACATGGATATACAGCTTTTACACTGGAAGCAGGTATCGAAAGAAAGTTTAACAATTTAAGCATTAGATATTAAGTTTTAAATTTTAAATATAATTAGGTGACTGTCTTTATAACAGAAATCTTAAGTTTCAGATTTTTAGTGGTTTACCTATTGTTATTCTTCCATATTCCAAGGTCCACATCCACATATTCAACCAATCTTGGATTAGAAATATTGAGAAAAAATGAATTATATGGTAAACACTTACATTTTCCCTGTTATTATTCCCTAAAAATATAATAATATGTGACAACAAATCCTACCATTATGTACAACTGTAATGCACCAAAAATGTGGAGACAAATCATACCATAATAATTATGTACATATATTTTATATTATATTAGATATTAAAGCTAAACCAGAGTAAAATATACAGGAA